GAAAGAGGTCCACTGCAAGACATAGGCCTCCCCCAAGGATCGCCACAACAACCGGTCCTGTGCTGCCTGCCTCCAACGGCTTGCCGCGACCTTCACCAAGTCGTCGGACCACCTTGCCAACGTGGTATAGTAGGCCAAAACCTTCTTTCTAAGGAGAGGCCTATGTCCAGCAGTGGACCGTTAAAGGCCGTTGATGATGATGACGATAATGGAGGGTGTAATTTTTTTCATTGCTATACGCAAATACTGTTTCCCTTGTAACAAAAACCTTATATGCATACCTTTTATGCAACTCATAACTAGTTACCGGAACGATTTTGGATTAGTCAATGCCAAAGTGTTACAATCTTATTTACGGCACACGTACATTAAACAAGAAATATCACCTAACAGGTTTGCAGAGGTTTTTACATGTATTACACAGTTAATATTAATTTACTCTAAATGTACTTTGTATGTAAAGTTCTGGATAAAAAAATAGGAAATTCCTAGATTGTCAATTGAGCATCTGATTTTTTTAAGCTAATCGTTCTATCAATTTGAAATGCCACTGACTGACTGACTGACTAACCAAGAAATGTAAGGTTTTTAACCGATTTTTTAACGGGACAAGGCTCTAAATTCGATTAAATTTTTTATGTATGTCAGATCTCCGTCATTTAATGTGTACGGATTTGGGATTTTTTTATTTAAATGGGTGTAGTTCCTATTCCCGGTCCTATTCAAATTTAAAGAGAATATTCTACCCCTATGGTAGAAAAGTAAGTTGAATAGGCATTAAATTCGGTGATTATTTTCCGCTGACTCGTGCGGGAGGGACTCCAAGGGCGGCAACGCACTTGTGACTTTTGAGTTAGGTGTCCCGCACAGGTGTCCATGGGCGGCGGTAGTTGCTTACCATCAGGTCTGCTCATTTGCCCCCTCATACCATAAAAATATATATATATTTTCCGTAAACGGCAACGCCGACAAAATAGTGATACAATCTTTAAAAAATGACCTACTCACCATACGTTTAAAGTGGGGATGACTTTTTATCGTCTGTCTCATGGTTTTCTTGGATAGATCTCTCAAATAAAGGACAATGGCAGGTCCCCATACATAATTTTATTTGAAGTTAAATGACAGCGTTTAAATATCAAAAATGCCTATAACCCTTGAGAATCTATTCTTGACCATTCTCATAAAAAAATTACTAGCGAAAGAAGTCTAGGAAAAAAGATATTGGATTTTGAATGTTTCGAGGTTCAGTACTAAAATATTGTAAATGTTTTGTTTGAAACTAGATGGCGTTGTGTGTCATATATTTGAAAATATTATTCATCATTATTATTACTTATAAGCAACCCTATTTTGCTGTAGAAAGTGTTAGCCGACTCTCTAAATGGGTGAAGGAAGGAAGGGTATTTGCTTGGCATGTATTGGTAAACAATAGAAAAAAAACTTCGCTTACATAGCAGGTGTAATACTAGCCATAAATACATAAATTATTAATAATAATTTGAATAAATGTACTTCAATACACATTTACACAAGGCGGGAGCATTTATTTAATTATTTAGTTATTCAACAATCAGTAGTTGTGACATTATTTACTAAAATCTAAAGCATGCATCCATTATATTGAGATTAATGCAAAACATTTTAAGGCATCACATCATGCATAATGGAGTAACACTATATAAAATTAAAATAAACATATATGAGAGTTTAATACTAAACAAAAGTAAAACAACCAAATAAACTACAATTGCCTTGTGAGAAATGGTATGTAAGTCATGCTTGTAAGTGTCAAACGACAAGACTATAGTCCGTCAACGTCGTGCGCGACCATCCTGCGGGGTGACAGACGGTGGCGGGGACGAGGTACTCACGATGTCAGCGGGTAGCGGGGAAGGGAATCGTGTGTAGCCGTGAGCTAGAATGACGCGCTACCTCGCCCCCCACTGTCTGTCACCCCGCGGGACGGTCGCGCACGAGATTGCCGGGTTATAGTAAGTGCGACGACGACGTATCGACATTTTAAAAATATGGATGCATGTCTATTTATGTGCCGTTATCAACCTACAATGTCTTTTTCTCATCACACTAAGCAGTATATTGTTTTAGTATTTTTCTGTAGGAAAATAAAGTAACTATATTCTATTCATTTTGGTGTAGCATAAATCTTTTAAAAAGAGTCAAAAACATTCTAAATTATTTCTAATTAGGTTGATTTAGTCACTACAGTACTAGTTACGGTAGCGTATGAGTAAACCCGTGGGCAGAAGCAAATTCATAATCATAATAGCTGAACCTTCAAAGTTATAACAATCAATTATCGATAAAACGTTCCATAATATAATAATGTCATCACGCATCCCTAGTCAGTTCGTGATGGCGATTCTGACATTACGTACTTAGGTCAAATAAAATCTTTAAAAATAACCAATCTCTTATTAGACTTATACAACACATGACGGTATAATGATAAATCATAGAAAAAATATTTAGTAAGTTTACTGTTAGTCAATTTTTTAAACGCTTCAGTTTTAGGTAAATATGTTTCTGCCATTGTTCTTTGAGTGTGTAATATCACCATTTTTCGAATCAATGGGTCACTGATTTTTTTTAGAGTCACCGATTTTTTTTTGAGTCAAATGCCTGTTTGCCAACAAAATACAATTTAAAGAGTTGTAGTCTACCAAGTCACAAAATGTACTCTCAGTTTTAATGTTTTCTGATTGTTAAATCAGAAAACATTAAAATTGAAGGAATAAAACATACAGAACGTGACGCAGGACGACGCCTACATTACCATACTTCTTTGTGATGATAATCACACCCGAGCCTCTCCTTCCCTTGCTCCTCAGTAATGGTAATGAGGCTCTTAACATTCCCTCCAGTAATTACAATACTAACTCAACCCTCACCTTTTGTTTTAATTTTATTGTTTTTTAGAAGTGTCTAATGATTCTAAATAATGCATATTGACTTAGAATTTCATAACAACAGAAGTGCTCCTCTGGCTGCAGTACTAGTGTTGGTTTTTAATTAACCAAGAACTATTAATAACTATTGATAGATCTTTGTTACCTGCGGCACGATGGACCCACAATTTGAAGATAGTGGTTGGCAGTGAATGGATGCGGACTGCCAAACCGGTACAGTCACCAACAACTGCTGCTCCTTCGTTCAGCAGTGAACGGTGATAGGCTGATAATGATGATGTTGATAGATTTTTTAATGAATACCTAGGAATCCTAGGTATAGAAGTCCAATAGTATCTACAACGCCTAAACAGCATTGTTTATATTGCTATTGGTGATATAACTGATGATAATCATGATAAGTAAAATATATCTTCGTCGTGTGTGATCATTTATTGAATTATATAACGAGCGATATTGTATATTAGGATGAAAATCTTATAGTATCTTCGACGTGTGTAACGCCTTTTATTAATATACTAAAAGGTGAAAATTACAAAGAAAATTACCCAATACATTAGATGATATATTTTCTAAACTAAACCTGGCTTAACAATAACGTTTGGTATATAATATTGTAAGGTGGTAATATTAAATCACTACCTATATAACTTTTGAGGAGATCTGATTTGTATAGAAATAATGTAATGTAAATTTTTTACACTTTGCTTGAAAGTATTTACTAAAGCGTTCTGTCTATGGTAAGACTAACAAACATGATAAAACAAAATAATGTTTTTTTTATGGTATAGAAGGCCTCCTTCCATTGAAACGTGTAACTGAAAAGACGCAAGTGCTATGCTTTCTTTTCAATGCTCCGCTCATTGAGTTGGGGGAAATTAGGCCCTTTTTTTACCTGTGAAAACCCTCATGGGCCGTCACCCCACCGGGGTTTGCGGCGGGGTAGTGTGATGGAATCGGACCGACTAAAACCCCACGGTGTGCCTCTCTGCGCCTGTAATAGGAGGGATCCGGGAACAGCTGTTATTAAGATATCCGGACCAAGGGGCCTCTGGTAACTCCACACACTCTATGAAAAGCAAGGAAATAATTGCGTTACACCGGCTTTCTGTGAGGCCGTAGTATCACACCGGTCAGTCGGCCCATATGTGCACATATCCACTTGTCATCAACATTATCTGAATTATCATTATCTTCTTCTACGACAACAGCATTCATAAAACTTACACAATATGCTTATTTTATTTACAGCGTACCTTAATCTAAACTGTATTTTAATAAAAAAAAACATTAATAATCTGAATTTCTTCTGAAATTTTGAATCATCTTCTACGACTAGTCTCATACATTATACATATTTGGCACTCGGTCTTATCTACAACATTAACCTAGACTTCAAGCGACACACAGCAAAAGCAACCATTTCGCCATACTCAAATTCATAAATATACTTTATAGGCACCCAACAGAAACCTTAAGGAATATTTTTTTCATTAAAAGGGAATCCTTATTGGATAAGAATTGGTTAAACTCTAACTAATCATATAAAAAAATAAACAAGTAGTTAATATTCTTCCGTTCTACATTTAAGTGTTACAAGTTCAGTACTAAGTATCTTTGCAAACTACTCAGTGTTATAATTAAATTACGTTCGTTACTCAATAGTTTTAAAAATATTATAAAACATTTTTCTGATATATGTATGTATATATGTACGTATTCATACAAGCTTCTATTAAACTATTTTTTTAAACGCTATTACTTACCTACATGTAGTTTCTCGTGTCAAACGTCTCTGAAACCAGATGAGTTAGGAAACAGGCACACAATAGTTGGGTATATCGCGTGATTGTCAATTTATTAAAAGTAAGTTCTTAAATTAAACCCATTATCTAACATCAACCGAATATCTTTCAATACTGGTGTAATAAATATGCTTTCTAAGGAGATGCCTATGTCCAGCAGTGGACTATTAAAGGCTGTTGATGTGATGTGAAATATACGCGGCTGTATTAACAGTAAACATACTACCTGTTCTTAAAAAGTTAATAAAAAATCCTTACACATGATTTAAAAACATCGTGGACGTACGTTAACGCCATGATCAATTTTAATTATATCAGAAGCCTTTTCTCCGATCATCATAACTGGTGTATTAGTGTTACCACTTGGGATCTTTGGCATAATCGACGCATCAACCACTCTTAATCTACCTACGTTATGAACCATCAACCTCTCGTTAACCACTCCATTGGCGCCCATACTGCATGTACCTACTCCATGCTGAAAAGCAGTTACACTATTCTTAGCATAACATCTCCAGTATTCATCTGATCCCCACTTAAAATTGTCACAACCTTTAACACGAAGTTTGGCAACTTTACCATTTACTTTCCTAAAATGTGACGTTTTCGCTAACCCGCTCATATATTTTAGCCCTTCTGTTGCAGCAACAAGATCATATTCGTTTCTATAACATCCTAAATTAATTATAGGATCATCAAAATAATTGCTACTTTTCAAAGTTATTTCACCTCTTGATAAAGGATGTAAAAGAACCAATAAAATAAAATCAATTTCATTTAAGGCATTTGCTTTGCTTAAGCTGGCACAGAATGAATTGTCAAGATTAAATATTGTTTTACACCCTATAAAAATGAGGGGACTAACAGCGGCTCCAATATAAGTGTTAAAAAACTGGAAATGTGGCTGTAATTTGCTTGGATAACTAAATAAAGTATCGTTGAGTCTGAATAAACCACTTTGTAAAGGTATAGGAACGGTGTCTAGCCGTGATGCCACTAAGATATTTTCAGAGGCAGTATTTAAACCTAATTGCCCTTTAACTGGCATTAGCAACATTTGATGGTCATGAAAATTTTTTCCTACAGGTAAGTCTAATATAAAATCTATACCATGTTTTACCAGTTCATCTATTGGACCTATGCCCGACTGCAGTAGTATTTTTGGACTATTTATTACACCAGCTGAAAGAATTACTTCTTTTTTTGCATACACTTTGATTAAAGTTTTGTCAGCTTTGGCGATTTCTACACCATACGCTACTAATGTTTGAGAATCAATCAAAACTCGGGTTACAGTTGCATATTTTGCTACCTTTAGATTGGATCTATCTTTTGCAGGTCTTAAGTAAGCTTCGGCCGTGCTAGATCTTCTACCATTGAAAATATTCAAATGGAGTCTTGTAGCTCCAAAAATTTCCGGACCATTCAATTCAAGAATTGTTTTAATACCCATTTCTGCGTACGAATTTAGTCTGATATCGTCAATAATAGCAGTTGAACTATATGTCACTGGTCTAGATATTTTTACCGGTCCGTCAGGTGAATGTAGATATGCGTTGTCTGGATATTCGAATAACGTGGTGTCCATCATTCCTTCCAATTTCTTGAAGTAGGGGAGTACTGTGTCCCAACTCCACCCAGGAGCTATTTTACCCCACTCTTCGTAATCCTGAGGGACGCCCCTAACATATAAAAGATAGTTGGTAGATGAGCATCCGCCAAGAACTTTTCCTCGAGTGTACTTTATGATTCCATCGGGATGAGCCAAGCCGACACCTTCGTCGAGATTAGCACGATACTTCCAGTCATATTCCGTATCTTGAAGTAGTAGGAATAATCCTGGCACCTGAAAATATAATTTGCATAAATATTTTGAAAATTGTGATAATAATATATGTAAATACTTAATAAATTTTCACTCGATTCTGCCGCTCATAGTGAAATTGAGTAAAAATAATCGATTAATTTATAAAACACACAGTGATATCGATATAACAAAAAGTCTATTAAAAAAAGTCTATTAAAAAGGCGTTTAACAGATAAAAATGTTGCCATACATACCACGCTTGTAACCGGGGGATCCCCTCCAGCTTCAACGAGTAGCACGTTAAATTGTGGTATTTCGGAAAGTCGAGCGGCCACTATGGCACCCGCAGAGCCACTTCCAACTACTATGAAGTCAAATGTGTCACCATCTAATAAAAACAAATAATTAAATATTACAGAGCAGTACTTTGATATTGAGACTAATGCTATTTGACATACACAGTCTATCATCTTTGATTTCACTACTTTCTAGTAATGTACTATGCTACGCATTCTTATATCTTTTCTTTAGGCGGTGTCTCTTCAGTCTATTTTAACTGTATGTAGTTCACATACAGCAATACTTAATTGTCAAAAAACAAAAAACTTCAATGACCGCCGTATGGGCCTTTGTGTAAGAACCTTTAAGTTCGACGACTAGATCACTAGAGTACTTCTTTTTCAAGAGCATTGTATGCATAAGGAGTCTTAATCATAAAACGCTATTTCTCACTGTCTTAATCGTGGTACCTCTTTTATGGTATAGGGGCAAATGAACAGATGGGGCAACTGATGGTAAGTGACTACCGCCGCCAATGGATACCTGCAACTCATGAGACACAAGTGCGGTGCCGCCTTTTTGGTTTAGGGCACCGGTTTCCGTATTTAGCCTCAGGAATGGCCTTTATGCGTCGAGGAAAGGTTGCTTAGGTGAGCCAACCGAGCTCCTTCTATAAGCGCAGAAGTATCCTGGGGCGTTTACAGGCTTCTAGGAGCGATTTTGTATCAGATATGATACTTGCCCGTTGTGTGGCCACTCCCTCGCATTCCAGAATTACTTGGGCGGTCGTTTCTACTGCTTTTGGGCATCCTCTGCAAAGAGGACTGTCCGTCGGTACCGCTTTTTTACAGCGGAGTTGGGCCACCAAAAATCTCACTCACTCAGTGAAAAGCAACGAAACAACTTAACACCGGTTTTCAGTGAGGCTGTGGTATCACACCGATCTAACCAGCTCATACGTCAAACATGGCTCTCCCACGAATACATACAATACAAACTTTAGTTCGCAGACTGGTGTTAAAAACACAAACTGATAGTAAATTTATGAAAGACGGGGATGAACATAACAAAACTTTAAAATAAATAATAAGTTACGCGTAACAATTTACAAAATACAATTTATATAATGACATAATTTTATTAATAATACAATTTGAACCACTAATTTTGAGAAAAGTGGTTAGGCCTTTATTTGAGGCCATCACACAAATTATCTAAAATATCTTCCAATTTACATTTAGATGATCTCACCTTTTACATTGTAATTTTCTGGCCAGCCGCTTGGTAAGATGGCCTGGGAGAAGGCCAAACTTCGAAGCAACCACTCAACAATTGGTATTGAGCTCAAGGACTGGATCGTTTTAAAGAACCGATTCACCACTATGTTCACGGTTGATAGTATTTTCATTTTGAATTATCTCACTGTTTTATATTGTGTATTTACTATGTTTAAATCATTTGTAGGGTTAACTAAGTTTAAAAAAGAAGGAGGTACTCAATTCGATTGCTTTTTTATTTTGGATGTACGAGTACCTTAGTCTATTTGACACAGATATTAATTATTACTTTAAATTGAGAAATAAATATTTTATAAAAACGTTTATTTTGTAAAAAAACTAAATTACAAAAAGGTTCTATAATCATTATAAATTCGTAAAAAAATATATTAAGAGAAGTGTTGCGAACCAGATGCAAAATAATTAAACCAAATCCCTAACAAGGTGTAATCCATAATCGTACCATACCCTAAAATGTAGAAACATTTGATTTTTTCTTTCAAATTTTCTCATGATTATCGAGAAAATTCTAATTATTAACGCACACAATTTTTTTTATCATAAAATAATATTCTGAACTCAAATTTTAAATGAAAATAATTTATTTTTATGAAACGAGTCACTGCAAAAAAATTGACTGTCTATTAACTGAATTGACCTACGGCGACATCATCAACTCGGAGTTGTCCTTTAAACTTCGGCAATTGACAGAAACACGGAAACGACGACGTCTGAATTAACATCGAGAATAGCTCCGACAATTAGTAAGATAATAACTATAGATATATGATACTTTAGATTAGAATTTGTGATAGACTAAGATGGTCTTTCAACATTGTTACCATATTGTGTCGAAATTGTCTTTGTCATGCGGTTTTCCACAGGGTCTTAGTTCGGATTAGGCGCAATTTGTGATGCTGACTACATACGCCACAAATCAGAGGGACAAATTACAAGAAACACCAGTGCGATCACTGAGGTGAAGAACAGAATAAAGGGACCTCAAAAGCCTTCAGAGAATTTGGAATTGTGGAATATTCGCTGCATTGGTTAAACCACACTTAGGCATTTGAAGACAAAAGTGCTCACGGACCAGCTACCAGAGGAAGAAGCTATTGAACGGCTCAGAAAGCAAGAACATTAGATATGGGCCGCAGATGCCGTGGAGCTAGTGCCAGTGAGGCTTCTAATTAGAAGGTTACCCTTAGAGGATGCAATCGGAAGCAGTGAGACTACTGACCTATTTAAATAAACTAAGTTTAAGTGTCAAGCAAAAATGTTAAGGTTAATCACATGTTACTATTTATAATTTTATATTACTTAAATATTAATATATTACATATTATAGCCCATTATCTAAAACGATATTTGGTTGATAACCATAAAGTTGACCCTAAATCACAATTTACTACGTACTAGTAATGCAGTTATATGCTCTCGCCATCGACTAAGTTAATAGACTTGAACAATCAACAATACATAACGTTGTTTTGGTATATACCAAGTATATACAAATCGAGTGTAAAAAAGTCGCCATTATGTAATCAAATACCGTCTATAATGCGGTTTATATGTTAATAACTTTACAATGGCAAGGTTTCGATATGTTATTATTTAGTTTTTTCCTGCGATTTTAGGAATAGTAATTCACTAGAAAATATACTTTTTGTATCCCTTTTTCCATTGACGGGGTGGAAACCCCCTTCGGATCTCCTGCTCCTTGGGGACTCAGGAGCCAGCAGTATGTGGTGATTCCACTAAAAACTACCCCGACGAAAAACCTCGGGGCCCTTGCGTCTTAATGCAATTAATCCGCCATCTTATTTCCTACCGCAGCAATTATTTTTTATTTTTTTTTAATTTAATATGCCACGCGAGCCCCGTCGGTATAGCCGCCGACGTCTTCTACGCTAGCTACCGCTACCGTAAGACTCACCGAGATCTCATAATGATCAAATAAACGGTACATCAACGCATAAAATGTGAAGTAACATTGTTTTTTGGTATTAATTACATGTTGTTTTGACGAATTTATTTTGTTCTTATTATAAATTGCCATATGTCCATGAATATATAATATATAAATGTTAACTAGCTTTGTGTATACTTCATAAACTCAAAAAGTTCTGCACCTATTGAGCTCAAATTTTGACTCGATATACAACCCACTACAAGGATGGTTTTTATCTATTTTTCGCATCTGTTTTGTTATCACAAGGTACCACAGCGAAGCGTGGCAGGTTTCAGCTAGAGTTTTATAAAGATACTTGCTGACCCGGCTAACGTTGTTTTGCCATATACACCTTATTTAAAAAAAAAATGTCAAAAAAAAATTAAAAAAATAGGGGTATGAAAAATTTCTGTTGGCCGATTCTCAGACCTACCCGATATGCACACAAAATTTCACGAAAATCTGTGGAGCCGTTTTGGAGGAGTTCAACCACGCACACCGTGACGCGAGAATTTTATATTTTAGATTGTTGTATAACATTACACATAACATTAATACATAAACACCTTATGTACCTGAATACATAAACACGATGCTTATATCATAACAACCCATACTAATTTTATAAATGCAAAAGTGTGTCTGTCTGTTACCTCTTCGCTCTTAATCCGATAGAAGATAGATAGATAGATAGAATAGAGATGGTCCGAGTCCCAGGAAAGGCTATAGTGTATCCCAGAAATCATCCTTTAAGGGGGTAAGAAGGGGGTGGAAGTTTGTATGGAATCCCATACAAACTTCCACTCCAATAACCGCTGAACCGATTTAGATGAAACTTGGTATGGAGATACTTTGATTCTCGAGGAAAGACCTAGACATACTTTTTACCGCGAAAACCGACGTTTACACGGTAAAAAGTATGTCTAGGTCTTCCTGATGCTAAGTCGTCGCGGGGATAAGGAGTTCAATATATTATGTGGACAGATTTCGGCGCGAACTTTTACTTGCAGAAGGGTGGTGGATGGATCTTAAAAGATAATTAGTTTGATAATGATCATATGGCCAGATGATAGTGATCTGATGATCTATCAGATCAGATATTAAGAAATCACATGCTTTGATTAGATGTACAGGTTTAGATAATAGTAGCATTAACTGATATTGAAACTATTAATATATTACTTGCGGTTATGACTAATGACTACGCCGCAGTCTCTATTGCTACGTTAAAGTTATAAGGTTTATGCCAGACCACATCATTCGGATGCATGTTATACAATATCGTTATAATCCCGAACGAATCCGATAACAGCGTACATGTCTCATCTAAAACTTAAGACCACCATAACTAGCAGTTCCCATCGAATTATTAACCTCCCTACTTCTGAAAGTTAGTCCAAAACCTGCACTTAATGATGGGTGAGAAAAAAGAAATTAAATGCCAAGAATTTTCACAAAATAACTCACATAACCGTTCATTGCAGTGTTAAAAGTAATTATGTTAAAGAGAAATATTTTATTCCAGATAAACGAAACTAAATCTTTTTCAAAAACAAAACAAGCTCACTCAAAGTATTTGTTTAATTATTTTTTTCTGTGTCAAAACACCTTTATATTTTTTTACAATGTAATCCAATATCCATTGATTGATTTTTAAAATTTATATTGGACACATTACGAACTTATAATTAAAAGAAAAACTGTTTAGTGGCTTACAATATACGTAAAAGTGTATATAACAGAGCGCTACGTATAATTAAATGCGAATAAGGTGGTTTATATAAGGTGCGTTTAGTACTGACGAAGTGGCAGTGTTACTCCGTGCAAAGAGGTGACCGTGTTTTAGAAGGACGATTGGATAACCGAATTTACGAGGAGTAGTTAAATTACTGTGTGTCAGGGTTACGTCAGTATGTATGCTGATAGGAGTCTCAAATGTTAAATACTTAATAAAAACAAGGAAACTTTTGTAAAATACTCTTTTGTAAAATGAATAGAAACACATAAACGATTGTTTGTGTTATTATTATTGTACATATGTAAATATGTTCCTTACATGGATAGAGATTCATTTTAAAATTATCGTTCCTCTGCTATAGGAGAGTAAATTTTGCATGACAAAATAAGGCGTATACCATATGAAGTATATAAGTATAATATATGAAGCATATGTGTCATAATTACTTATTACTTTTATAATCTTTAATGAAAAAATAATCATCATTAATTACTAATAAATTATAGTTTGAAAACTAAAAAAACACGTTTTTATAGTTGACGAAATAAAAAGTGTAAAGAAAATCATTCCGTTTAATTTTTAAAACTATAACTTCTTTTTAAATAAATATTACCTATACGTAATAATTCTGTTGATGGTACTGGACCTCACGATCGACATCGATCGAACATTTTACTTTTTTGTTCTCAACCTTTTATTATTTATTAAGCTTCTTGAAGACATTCCACGGTTTAACAAAATTATACTTCCTCTACTCTACATCCAGTTCAAGGGTAGCAAAGTAATTTGTTTATCTGTTAACGAATTAAAAATACCGTCTAAGCTTACATATAACAGCGGTAAAATCGTAAAAATGAAAAATCGTAAAGAATTATAGACCAGTGTTAAGTAACGTGATCAGTGACAATTTATATTAGAACAAAATCGTTTGCCTTAACCTCTTTTTATGAGCTACTTTGTCACAATAGTTAAAAGAGGTTAAAGTATAAAATTTCCGTTGTATAGATTACCATATTCATGGTTTATTTTACGTTTAAGTATCTATTAAAATACTTTGAATTGACATATAACCTTCATGGTCTAAGATTTTTGTGTAAAACTTTTTTCACTTGATACCTATGAGGTTCTTCTTTTTAAATACATTCAATTTTCGACTGTTATAGTCCAGTCATTTTAGTAAGTTCACCTCGGAATTCGAGATACCCAGCTGTAAGTCTGTAAATACTTTTATATTGACACCCTAAAAGTTGTCTCAAAACCTACATATGGTAGGGTGTAAGCAACTATTAAATTTCAAGGTCAGAGGTCACAAAAATCGGTTTTTTGCGCTTTTTTTGGAAATATCTCATTTCCTATGGGTTTTTTGCTATTTGTATTTATTATCAATATTGTAGAATACAAAATTCTCTACAAATTTTGTTTAAATAAAAATTTATACGGTG